ATTATGTTTGAAAATGTTATATACAGCAAACACCAAAACGGTGTTTATCTAAAAATATTTGTTCTTTTCGAACTACTGAGAAGTACACTTTACACCTAGTATGATTTAATTTGACCTAGAACACATAATATTTAACACTAAAAAGGAGTTCAATTTACACTATTTTAGTATTTGAAATTACACTGGACCAACGAACCATATTTAACACCATTTTGGTTTGTATCGATATAGACCATGTATGATGTTAATTTGGTGTTAAAATGGTCATGAAATTTTAAACAATGTATCTATAGATAAAAAAAATTATAATTTTAGCATCAAGGGACGATATTATTTAGGTATACCTATAGTTATAGGTAGTATAGTGTTTTTTTAGAAATTATACCTTAAAAATGGGCACTAAAAAGTAGGTAACTATGAGGGGCGGCAAAAAATTTTTGCACGGGGTACCACAATGTCTGGAGCCGGGCCTGCAGTTTGGTGATATATGGAAAACAGGGGTAACACGGAATAAACGAGCAAAAATTTAAATTTACCGCTCTATCACGAAAAGTGTGGGTTTAACCACTGGGTTAGGTTAGTGTTGTATGTTCTGTGGTGTTGACATCCCGCCAAATTTTGTGCAAATTCTGCCCAGTGTTTTTTGGGAAAATATAGTTGAACGATAAGGTAATTTTTATCCGAGAGAGATGGAAAAAACATAAAAGGCAAATACCTATATGCATGGCATATATGCACATTTATTTGTTTCCCCAATTTTTTTTTCACTGTTCTTTATAAAATTATATATATAGAGTTATAAGAAACGATGCCTAGAAAACATAAACATGTTCCAGGAACGGTGTATTAAAGAAATTATGACCCAGAAAATATTGAATACAACCCTGGCAGAGGTGATAAACAATCATTTATCCTTTGGGCAGGTTGCTACCTGCTTTGATGTTCCCAAAACCACTTTATACAGCAAATACAGAGAAAAGTATTCTGATGTATTTGGGAGGCCTTCTGCCTTAAGTGAAAAAAGCATATAAGAAGTGTAATAATTACATCTGCGGAATATGGATAATCTTTTGCAAAATAAGATACAAAAGAGTGCAGTCATATCTAAACCACAAAGGAGTAATAATTAATTGTTTTAAAGAAAACCTTCCTAGCAATGACTGGCTAAAATCTGACTCAAACTTTCTTCCAAACCGTGGCAAACTACCAACCAAACTGAGCAAAAGTTACTGTTTTAACGGACCCGTAAAGTTAGCAAGAGATCAAGATGCAAAAAGTTTAGCTCAAAACAGCAACACAAAAAAATAATCAACTTTAAAATATTATGAGCAACATTTATAGACAAATAAAATTGATTTTAATTAAAGTGGCTGATGGCTCATTGGGCTTGACAACCGACAGACCCGAGTTCAAACCCCAGCTGGGTCAGAACTTTTTTTAAATTTAAATCTATTAATTTGACTGTTTCATTCAGTAGCCACACAAAAAAAATGTCGTGATCTGGGGATGCGACATATGCTTTCCTATGGATTTTGACGCGCTGAATCCGAACCCGATGTCAGAATTTATCCTTCAGGTCCGCGCTTCAACCTAACCTCAAAAAGCGTGAAAAAATTAGTATTTCCTGTTTCTGGGGATGAGGCATGTCGATTCTTATGTTTTTCGATGCATTGAATGTAAATAATCTCTCAGAATCGATCTCACACGTTGTTCTTTTGACTGTAACCTCGAAAAAATGTAATAATATACAAATCCCACGAATTTACAACGTTGTATAATACATAAATCCGACATATTTCCAACGTTGTATAATTCGTAAATCCCACGTTTTTTAAAACATAAGAAACTAACGTTGTCATATAACGTTATAAACCAGGACATTTCAAGATAAAATTATACAAAAAAGTTAGGTTTTCCCAAGGAAAAACGTAAAATTTCTACTAGGGATTCGTAAACGTAAACACACGAAATCATGCGGAATCTGCCGATGTACTTCGAGTACTTCGAAAATACTTCGAAGGTACTTCTAGTACTTCGGAGGAACTTCTAGTACTTCAGAGGTACTTTAAATACTTCGGAAGTACTTCGAATACTTCGGCTGTACTTCGACAAAAATGTACACCTACTTCGAAGAGTGAACCACCCCTCGCAATAAACTTACCTTCTCAATTTAAATAAAGGCACCAAAAATTAGAATTTATTATACAAACACAATTAATTGTGTTCTAAATGATATTTAGACATACATATACAAATATAATACGAATGTCAAACGATGCTGTCAATTTCTTTCCACACAGACCTGTCACTTTTCATACAGAAATGTCATTTTACATTCGAGTTTTGCCTTGCCAATGAAAAGATTCATTTTCTAAGCAACGATTCCATTACGAAATGTGACTTTTACATAGTGGTCGTAGAAAAAATAATATGATGTACTATGCTCCACACCTCAAAGTCCCACCACGTGACTACGTACGGAACGCATTTGGCATTTAAGGCTCAACAGGTTAGGTATGTATCTGTCAAAGTATAGTCAACAAAACAAATAATATTATGTTTAGGCGTTAAAAATGTATTTATAAATGTATAAATATATAATATAAATATAATATAAATCTTTATAACATTACAATAAAAATGGTTGTTTTAAGAATTTAGGAATATAACATTTATTAAAAAAAACTCTCTATTATGGAATAAGTATATCTGTATTAAAGGTAGGTTAATATATTATAACAAAAATATCATCTAATTTTGTAATTTTAAGGTTAAAAAAATTTATTTTGACCAAAATAAATAATTATTTTGGATTATTTGAAAGACTGTTTGGTATTTAAAAATGTGGTAGTTTTTCTAATCCAACCTAAAGTGTACCTACATAAAGTTTTGTCAATACAAATAGTAGGTAATAAGGCTTCAACTGAATTTGATCTACATCGAAAATTTTTTAATAAATCACATGTCATCGGAGTATTAAATATTTTCACATTGCAAGTTTCTCTAAAAATTGTTTGTTTTCTTATAATCTAAGGTATTTATGTCGTTGGAAGTATAAAAGCTTAAATTTAATTTGAACCATATTTAACAATTATTTAGTATACCTACCTACCTATATTTATTTATGACCATATTAACACAATCTTCCAAATAATCCACTTCTTCATCTTCTTCATAAATCTGAACACAAGAGTCCTGTGTTCCGAGGTAATGGCCTTTAGCCTACTTAAGGGCTATTTGGCCAGCTCATTATGTTTTAATTTAAATTTTAATATGACCAAGGGTCTCAATTAAGAGCATCTGAGTTTACCTCATCCCTTGAATCATTTATATATATTTTCTTTCTACATACATTTTGTTACAATACACTTAAAATCATCCATATAAATCTTCTTAAAAATTATTAATTTTTTCACTTTTTCTTTCACATTTGTTTCTTCTTTCTTTCATAATTTATATATATATATATACATATATATATTTATATATATATATATTCCATTTACCCAACCATTTAATTATTAAACACATCAAAAATTAATTCATCAATAAATATCTTCCGTTAGTTTTCCATAAAATCACAGATAATAAACAACATATTACTTTTTCATTGATGAAGCTCCATTTTTATTTATAATCCAACCATGCACCATATGGGAGATGGCTGCAGCCATACATGTATTTAAATATTTCACCCATCCATCATGGAATTTATGTTTTAATTAGGTACTCAATCTATTGTAGACTTTGTGTACCTATTTGGCACTGATCAGCGTATTTTTGATTTTATTGATTATTTTTGTGCTGGGAGTCCCATATTGTCTGCTCAAGGAAGGCCGTCTACGACCTATCTGCTTCAGCAGACAACACAAAACTGAAAAATAATCCACCCATTTATTTTGGTCAAAATAGATTTTTCTAACCTTAAAATACAAAATTAGATGATGTTTTTTGTTATAATACATTAACCTACCTTTGATACAGATATTCTTATTCCATAATAGAGTTAGATTTTGTTTCATAAATGCGGTTTAGTTAAAACTATTTTATAGAGAAATGTAGACCCAATGCACAAAAATATCGTGAATATTGTGATACTATAAAGATTTATTAACTTTTAACGATTAAACATAAGTGGTAACATTATAAATATTATTTCTTTCATGACTATACTTTGACAGATACATACCTAACCTGAAAAGCCTTAAATGCCAAATGCGTTCCGTACGTATACGTACGGAACGCATTTGGACTATAGTCACGTGGTGGGACTTTGAGGTGTGGAGCATAGGTAAATATGCTTTAAATAAAAATTATAATACCTACCTACCTATAGGTACCTATACCTATAAAGATAAGTCATAATTTGTATCAATATAAAAAAACATGCATATTTATTTTTTAATAAAAAATAAAAGCAATGTAACATTGTCGATGTTGTTTACAAAAATAATACACCGTTAACATTTCTTTATTTGTCAATCTTTTAACTACAAAACCTATGCTTTCCAGATGGTCTAAGTATTCATTTATTTTCTTTATATTTTCCTTTGGTACCTCTGCTCAATTGTCTTTAAGGAACTACCTGTTGCATTCGGGTAGGTATTTCGCGAGAAATGCAAAATTTAAATATCAAAGGAGCGGTTTTTTTAAGGGCTAGAGTCGGGACTAGGTAAATGACATGTTATAATTTGATTATTTATTAAAAAAATATTGACGACACATCATAGTAAATACATTTAGGTAGGTATGTGAAAAACAGTATCTCGAAAACAGAATAATTTTAAGAGACGTACGGTAAACAAAACAAAAGAGGCCGATAGCATACGAGCGAATTGGATTCCGAAGACGTTATTGTTTACGTAAAATTTGTTTAACAGAGCAAAAATATAAAGGAAATATATTACATGTAAAATGGGAGTAGGCGCTGCATAATTCTAAACAATACCGTAATACGTTTCAATCTCAGACGTCCCGCAGAATTACCGTCTCGCACTTACAAAGTAACAGGTTCTTCGAAAAAGTGGTGACGCAAGTGTTAAAGTCTCGCCTACAACCCTTTTCATATTTAATGAACCCCATAGAAACAACACGAACTAAACTCACCTTTCTGGCAAAGCTGGGGGTGTGCTGTTTTCCATTGCGATCTAATCAAATCCTTTCGGTACACTACACAACAAACGTAAATAACAAGGAATAGGACTGTCTAAGGCACACATAATCATTTAAAACACTAAAGAACATCACTGACTCGCGGAAACTGTTCTTCGCACGATTCGACACATTTAAACCACTTTTCACTGTGTTCGTTAAGCATTAATTTCGCGTAATAAGGCACTTTTCGGGACGGATTGTTCGCTTGCTAAATAAAAGACCAACAAGTGTCAGCCATTTTGGTTGAAATTCTACTGGATTAGCCGAGTTTGCGCACATTCTATTTACTTATTTATTTCCACTAATAAACAAATTTAACGTTGCCAAGTTTCATATTTTGCATAGCGTGGGGAAATCGTGTTTCAAAATATTTTGCATTTTTCAAACAAATTTTAAACTTATTTTATAGAAAGATTTTACAATTCACTCTAGAATTATTAAACAAAATTTGATTGTTAAAAAAAGCAACGTTCTTTGTTAATAACAATAAAAAAAGGAATATTTCTTTTTTAAACTTGGCATCAGTGTTAACTTAACACTTAGAATATCCACAAAAATTGATTATCTAAAAACAAATCTCTTTTTTCTACTACCTTACTAGAAAACTTAATATTCCACCCCCGAGCGACGGAGGAAAATGCCACTTTTCCTTCCCGGGAGGAAATAAATTTTCCTCCCTCTTTTTTTTTAACAATTTTACAGTAGGTATCAAGAGTTTTTGTACCTTGTCTATAGTCCTATTTGATTTTGTGGGAAAAAGATTTACTCCGTGCCACCATTCTTTTAGGTATTCATTTTTATATCGCTCTTTCGATTTTTAAGGAAGGAAATTAATTGCAACTATTCTTGCCTGTTTAGCAAGATCTTGCGGCAGGTCTTCTTCGCTAGAACTCATTTTCAAAACGTAGGAAGAATTTCAAATTTATGATAAACATTCTGACAGCTTATAAAAACTGTTATGTTGTTATCATAGATAATAAATTAAATTGTTATTACCAAAAATAACCTAGCAACAAAGCGTTCTCAACATAACGTCGGCGACGCAACACCTACTTAAAATTATATATATAAAATTATGACAAAATATTAATTAATGCTAAATTTAGCACTTTTTTCATTTGATGATTCATTCTTCATTTGTACCTAATCATGTATTTATTTATAAACTAAATTAGTGCATAACCTTACTACAGGCATCAAAATTCACATTATGTACCTATTAGATAATTATAAAAAAAATAAAAATAGATATTAAAATTACAAATTTATTTTTCTTACATAGGTAGGTAATTAGGTACAAAATTCTATAATAGGTATAGTTTATATAACATTAAGTTTATAAACTTATAAGAAACATCACTGTAGCAGTAAAATTAGATTTTAAAATATATTTTATTGATCGGCTAATTTTAATTTTTTTTTAATAAAAAATTATATTTATACTAATTATAATTGTGGTTGTTTAAAATTGTTAGTAATTTGGTGATTTTAGCTATCATAATGGTGTAATATTTAAAAATTGATAAAAAAATACTAGGTCTTCAAAATTTAAGGCTCATTAACTTGAGAGCCAGCATTTACTATGGCAGCCAAATCCTCGTGTCCTTGTTTCAATCGATCTCTAATAAGTTCTGCAATGGCCTTTTGAGTTTGCCTTTCAAGTTTTGCCATTTTCTTTGCTAAATCACGTTTTAAATCCCAATCTGGTTTCCTAGGTGCCAGGGTGGTTACATCCAGTTGATCAATCACTATTTCAGACTTTGCCGATTCCAGTTGGTCCTTGACTTGCAAACCTACATCCCCTGGCATAATGTTGGGCAGTAAATGTTCGTTGAGAGCTTCATCTACTGGTTTGTAGCTTCTGAATTTTGGTTTCGGTAACTCAAGTTTTTCTTCTGTTGTTTTTTTGTCGGTAGTGTCCTCTTTGCATTCACGTTTGCGTTTTAACAACATCAATTTCTCTTTTCTTTTAAGAGCTTGTTCTTCTAATTTTCCAACAGAATCTGTTGCCATGTTTTTGGTTTGTAAAGATTTAGTACTAAAACCACACTGTGACTAAAACAAAGTTTCAATTGTAATTTTTGTTTAAAGAATTAAGCTATATACTTTAGTAAACAAATGGGTAGCTAATTGAAGGTTATGTTTTGACGTTTTAATCAAACGGTTTGATTCAGTGTTGCCAGCAGAGACAACAGAGTTGTCAGATTGTCCGAGGGCTTTTCCCTTAAGGTACAGTTTCGTTGATGCGACTCGCGGCTGCGGCTTGCGGCTGCGACCTTAGCCGCGCCACTGCTTAGTACAATTTGTATGTATTTGTTTTGGTTGGCGCGTTCAGTCGCAGTCTGCGACTGAACGCGTCAACCAAAACATATTCAAACAAATTGTACTAAGCAGTGAAGCGGCTACAATCGCAGCCGCAAGCCGCAGCCGCGAGTCGCATCAACGAATCCGTACCTTTAAACGATCCAGATGGAGTTCAAGTTTCCCCTAGAATTTAGAAGTTCTAAATTAGAACTTCTTCCATAGTTATTAAAGTTTTGTTTACAGTTAAGAATTTAAAGTACAATTTTCTCCACCATTACATTTTTTTTCTTTGGTAGGTACCGTCAAACGGGGCGAATCGGGACGATTTTCAGTTATTTTCCTGTATATCTTTTTATTTAAATGAGATAAATCAACAATTTTTGGAGGAAAGTGACCTCCTCTGTTTCTACTTTTAAACAATGCTTCGTGCGAGTTTTTAGCTTTTATCGTAAACGCAAAAAAAATATTTTTAGAGGTGTCCCGATTGACCCCGCATTTGGGGTCAATCAGGACAGAGGCTTATTTGCTCGAAAATGTTCGATTAACCCCGCGTAAGGGGTCAATAGGGACAAAAAATATAAAAAAAAACAGTTTTCAAATTTTTTTATTGATGACGTCATCAGGGCCGGATTTAGGCATGGGCCCGGGCCCAGGGCGGCAAATTTTTAGGGGCGGCAAATTTTGAAGGCCAGTTACAATTTTGCTAAAAAATCAAGAGCGTTTTATGCAGAATTTTTGTTTTCACTCAGATTTATACACTAATTAAAACTATAAAAAGTTGGAAGAGAAGTTTTTTAATAGGTACATTAGATAATTTTATATCAGACTACACTATTATTCTGCGTAGTGCGTCAGTGACGCAGCGTCACTGCGTAGAAGGGCGGCAGCCCAGTAAGCACTGGAACCTCCCAGGGACGTACGCAGGACGTCTTCCTGGGATATACCTGACGGACTCAGGAAATCCGACAGCGTCTGTAGGACGTCCCTGGGATGTTTGATGACAACCAAAGGATAGTAAAAAAGACTTCCTATAGGACCCTCCATTTTAGGTCCTACTGCGACCACCTCAGGCCTCTCTATGGACGTTATAATTCGATCCGCATGGAGAAAAAAAAATACAATCTATTTATTTTTATTATCTATTTATTTTTAACATCTTTTGTAACAAAAACTATATATCTGATAAAAAAAAATAAATGAAATTAAAATATTCAGGGTAATCCGAATTGTACCTTACATAGGTAATTTGGGAATTGATAGAATAGGTTAACATAATATCAATTTTATTAATAAACTTATATAAGTATATATATAGTAAACTAAACAAGGTGTATCTTTTTTTAAATAAATTTATATTGTTTCTGAACTTAAAATTATTGTTTTAAATAAATATAACCTACCTATATAGGCATTTATTTAACTAAATGAATAAATAAAGTAAGGTTACTTAAAACAAGCAACAGGTGAAGACCATACAACACGAAACTACAATAAAAAATATAATAGTTATACTAGTTATGCAATTTAAAGAAATTATATTAATTTATAACGGCATCAATAAAAAAAGAGGAAAGCTTTTTTTGTCGTTAATCGGGCGGCACCTCGATCGAAGAGATGCATTATTGTTAATTATAAATTTACTAGAAAAAAACAATAATTTGCTCAGAAATATATATTATTTAATACATACCTACCTTCATTAAATATAAAAGGCACACAAATGTAAACTAAAGTTGTATCTATTGTTAACTAAACTTCCAAACCACAAAACAATACAAAACTGATTTTAACACGTGCCGCGAGACTCATGGTACATTAATGCAGCGCCAGGGTTGCCAACTTGAATTCGATAGTCGGTACCGCGTAATTCAAATTACCGTACTATAGCTCGCAGGATCGTACTTACTAAATGGGGGTGCGAATTTTTTGGAATAAAAAGGGTAGTAATATTTTGTAAAAATTATGAATATAAATAAATCTTCAAAAAAAATTGTTCATATTTTTTTACCCTTTTAAGAAATAAATTTATTAAAAATATTTAAAAAACATAACAATATACATAAAATACATAAATATTTAAGAAACAACAATATACATAAAAAACATAAAAGAATAAAATACCTACATTAAAAGAAGTCGGTATTGTAGGGCACTTTAGTAAGACTCCACCAGAGGTCAGTGAGCGCCATGAAACTTAAAAAATTATAAACAGATACAAATTTTTTGCTTAAAATTTGAATGTTGGAAATTACGTACGGTAATAGGTACATTCCAACCGCAGTAATATTACTGACACAATATTATTTTAGACTTAAAAGTATTTTAAATTAATTTGAACGAAATAGAGAAAAAAATACAAAATAATTTGTTTTTAAATATGTTTTTCCTTTCTTACTTTTTTTAAAGCGTGTGCGCATGTGTGTCAGTAATATTACTGAAAATTACAGCCGGTTGGAACTAACCTAATGAGTTTGGTCCCTACACCGTACAATTACCTGAAATTATTTAAATTTATCTTTTACGTTTTTATACTTATGTATAAATTAAGGTACAAAGTTGTTATAAAAAAGTAACTAAAAAGATGATACTATTGTTTTTGAGGAGTCATGCTCTTTGATTTGATTTTAATAAAACTTTATTGGACATCCGTAGGCGTCCTGTAAATGACCAGCATAAGGTGGTCCTACTTGACTGTCCCTAGAACGGCCAGGTCGCGTCGGTCTGTTTTGACAAAATTTGGATGTCCCAGGGACGTTTGTGTGCTTACTGGGAGTCGATGTACACGAGGCGAGTGGGGCGCGACTCTAGCTTATTCGCTGAGTCATTCGTTATTCGAGGTAATGGTGCGTTGGGCCCATGGGCGGCAAATTTGTAAATCCGGCCCTAGACGTCATATTAGAAAAGCCTATTTATTTAGCACCTTCTAAAATAATGGCAGATAAAACAAGAGGGTCATCCTTTTCCTTCGGATCTGACCCAACGTTGCGTACGCTATTTGTAATGTTCGCGGGTCATGCATACTTTTGATAAATTTTGCCCCACAGGGGTTCTTTTATAGGTGCGGACCATTGTCCCAATTGACGCCATAAAGTGACAAGAATAATAAAATAAATTGATTAAAAAAAACTATAAACTTACAAACTTTTGCTTAGGCGCAACAGCCCAAGCAACAATTTAAGTATTTGTTACGTATATCGGTCTATTGAAGAAACTTTAAAGTGTTTTGCCACAGTCGCCGGTCTCTTTATATAACTCTTTCATTACTAAGTTACGACTAAAGTGGGGAACAATTATTGAGTTCCAAAAAGGTAGCAAATATGCAGAGCTGTCACAAGTCACTTCTAAAAAGACTTAAGTCATAAGTCGTAAGTCTTTTTTGAAATAAAAATGACTTAAGTCTTAAGTCATTTTTTCTATAAAACAGAAAAGACTTAAGTCTTTTTTTAAGCCTTAAGTCTTATTAAAAATGACTTAAATCAAATATATAACGACTTAAATCTAGAAAAAGACTTAAGTCATTTTTAGGGACTTAAGTCCCTAAAAATACTTAAGTCGTTTTTAGATTTAAGTCGTTTTATAGGTTTAAGTCGAAAAAAAAAGATTTAAGTCGAAAAAAAAAAGATTTAAGTAAAAAAAACAAATACCTTACTCATTTTGAGAGATTAATTAAAAACAAGATCAAAGAGTATATATCTAATAGATACTGTTTGACAAGACTTTTAATGAAATTTATTTTTAAAATAGGTGCATAACAAAAAGTTGATCACTTAATTAGTCAATTATTGTATTGTATATAATAATGTACTGGCACACAGTGTTGGAAATGCCCAAAAAGCTGGCCAAAACCTATGAAATCTACATTAATATATTTGAGTAAATTTAATTTTTTTTCATTAGTAAACTAATAAAGGTATGTTAAAAACATATAACAAATTTCTTAAGTTTCATAACTGATTTAGTAGAGAAGGGCAAATTTGAACTTTCTTGAAGTGATTTTTTCCATTTCAAGTAACCAGTAAAAAAGGTACTTTTTCAAATATTATTTTTTAAATTATCATTAAAGTATATGCTATTTTTAAATGAATTACTTATTTTAGGTGGATAAAACGATTTTTTAGTGAAAACATATTTATTATTATATAATATATATGTAACCAAACTTATGTTATCTTTAATTAAAGTTAGTTGAGTAAAACTGCATTTTCTAAAATTATTGTAATTTTTAAAAAATGATTTTGTTTAGGACCTCCACGAGCCGGAGCTCAAATTTTGTCATGATCAGAAAGTTAGTACCTTGGTGTGTTAGTACCATGAAAAATTGGATTCGGTTTGATCCGGTCCTGGGTGCTATCCATAAATTACAGTTTGCTTATTTTAAAACTTATGTGAAAATTGTTTAATAACTTTTAAAGTAACTTAATAATTTTTTAATATAAAAAATACTAGTTATAACTATAGTTAACTTTTAAACACCTTTGGCGTATTTAGTTCGCCAGGGACGGACTAGCTTTAATTTGATTATGTCAATTTTTTCAAGCGTGTAACAATTTAAGCCTCTATACATAGTGTTGCATGAGGAAACCGACATAGCTTAAGGGTAGTTGTAGTTTTCAGAGGTGAATCCGAATCTGGCTTTGAAAAAATTCGGAGGTCCTTCGTTTAAGAGTTACAGGGTGATTTACGTATTTTGTCGAAAATTTTGAAAAATCATATCTTGGGAATGGATAAATAGAATCGCATAAAATTTTATATACATACTTAAGTATAAAGTACCTGCACAGCGCTGTATCGGACATTCAAAAAAAAAATCAGGACCGGACCTAAATTTTTTTTTTCCCACTAAAAACACCTTGAATATATTTTTTT